TCGCGAAGACACGTTTCCAAGATTCCAACAGAAACCATTCAAATTTCAGCTCAAAGTTGCTGTTTCATGAAGACTGGACAGAACTAGTCTTGGTTTTTTAGCAATGTTTGGAAATTCGGAAAATTTTACAGGAAGTGAATCTGATGTGTGTACGGATGATATACAAGTGCGAGTTCCATTGGGCCCAGTTACACGTGCACGGGCCAAGCGTTTCAAAGAATTTCTACAAGCCCTTGTTCAAAATGTTCAAGATCAACAAGAGTTCCATATAAACATTGAAGGCTTGGACGTGGCTAATCGAGTTGTCTACACATTAATCCAAGCCCATGAGGTGCCAAGTGATGACCAAGCATGTCCTTAATGGATTGGTCCGATTGTTAGTTGGTTTTGTGGGCTGATCCGGTTGTTAATATTAGATGTTTGGTTTGTTAGTTGGGTTTTATCGAGTCATATTTTCATTAGTAGTCCATTGGTTATGCGAGTTCAATAAGTTGACCCACTCTTGCCTAAAGTGTGGTCCGAATTATCTTGTCTAATTTAGGTAGAAGTATTAGTCAAACAATCCTTGTTCGAATAGGATTTCATTGGCTCACTAGCCTATAAAAAGGCGCAACTTGTACGAGCAAAGGGTTAGACATTATTGATAATAAAATTCACTTTGTTTCTGACAGCCCCACCTCACCCTAAGGCGAACCAAAGGGTTTGGCGGACCGCCTGCCCAGCTCTTGCCAGGACTACGGAGTCGATTCACACAAACCCAATATAGTACGCGCGATAGGACCCAAAGAAAACGAACAATTGGAGACTACTAAGGTGAGAACATGCTTACCAAACCATAAAATCATAGTCTCACCGGAATACATTTAATAGACAAGGTTAAACACTTATACATATATTTACATTGGAGCCTTGAACAAATTAACATACAGTGCAATCCAAAGTATTCATACTACACAAAATACAATTAGGGTTTCATTTTTAAAAGAGCTTAACAACATGACATATATACTAGCTTGACCCTTTTCTTTCAAAACCGTGATTTCCAAGTTTGTCCCCTGTAAGGAAAACAAAGGTAATAGAAAGGGGTGAGCTTACGCTCAATGAGGTACCAAACATATAGGGATAAAATCATGGCCTTTCACGTTTAACCAATCAGATACATATACCAGATATAAAGGAAAGCGGTTGGACATAGTGATTCAAAGGGAAAGGATACAAGTGGCTCTCGGGAGCCAGATTTCCATTGCAGTACTTGATCCGAACCCGTTGACTCTCCGTCAACGTAAATAGAACCAACATATCTGTAGACCCCACTTTATACCAATTTTCGTCCACCAAACATACCCCTATCGGGCCCGAACACCTCAACAGAAACAGAAGTGGTAATACTCGAGTATACCAGAATCATGAGTCTCAATACCCAAAGATTCCCAGAAACAGACTACCGTGGTTCGTTATCTAATCGACCAGGCCCTTGCCGGCCCGACTCGAGTAACTAGCCACAGGTGTTGAGCTCAGAGGTCACAAAAAGGTCGTTGGATACCAGTCTCCAAACGACGTCCGAACAGACTCAGAAACAGATAACAGATTACACACAGTAAATAGGCATACAGACAGACAAGAGAACGAGTGTGATAAAGTATACCCTCATCTCAAACCGAATAAACAGATAGTACAGTTATTTAAATCACAGATTGCCAGTGCAGAAACCAAGTTAAGCAGCAAATGAGGGGAGTGGTACACTCACTGGCTCCAGTACAGATACTTCAAAAGTTTTTACCCAAAGTGGCTTTAATCGCCAAGAAACCCTAAAATAATCAAGATAAAACAATTATAGTTCGCACATCCACAAACCCAGTAAATGGAATACATAAATGAGGCTCGACTACATGTCGTACGCCTTTCCAGGTTAAGTACTAGTACAGAAGAATAAAAACATGACTTTTGAGTAAAAAGATAACAGTTGGTCCTAGGGTTACAAACAACCCTTAAAACCCTTTATTTACTAAGATCAATTCAACTTGAAGGAATCGCGTAGCCCTAAAATTTTGGGCAGCATGCCCTCTGTACTTTGCTATATTCCAGCCATTTATGGCTTCATTGTTTTTCCTCAAGTCAGTCCAATTCAACACATAAGAAATCTCAATACAATAGCCCTTCAACTAGGCTCAAGTTCATCCAAATACAAAGCAAGTCTAGGAATGCAACTAGAATCAAGTTTTAAGGACAAAAGCTAAATAGCAGGTTTGACGTCTCTTAGCGGAACAGACACAACCGAAGCTACGCTTATCCGATTGGGGTGCAATTTATACCGTTTCGAAGTTAAGATAAAGGCCTAAAACTTTGATGAATACCACTCAGTCCATTCCATAGTTTATCTAGATCAAAATTTCAAATTACAGAACCAGCATCTCACAATCAGACTAGTTAACCGCACTATGATTAAACGACAATAACTCAGGCTACCGAAGTCCGATTGAGGTGTATCTTATGGCGTTTCGAACCCAAGACATATAATTATATTTCTTATAAAGGCCTCCAAAGCTAAATCAAGCATTTTTAGAGTCAAAAATTGAAATCCCCACGAAGATAGAAAACTGTCCGTGAAAATAGGGCTTATGGACAGACAATGGTATTTCAGTCATTTCACATGTTACGGTGCTCCGATCGAGCTGAAATTTTTCAGGCTGCTAGAAAACATCATTGCCTACCACTTTCATGTTTTGTTCTAAGGCTAATTCGGCCTCTAACATGGTCAAACAGAACCCGACAGAACAGGGCAAATTGGAACCCTAAAACTGGAATTTCCGTACAAAATCGAAATTTTTCCGCAAACAATCGTAATTAGCACACAAGAGGTCTATTTACCACCATTTAGAGCCATCAATTCAAGCCCAACCATATCCATCATAGGAAAACAGAAAATTCTCACAAAAATCAGAAATTTAGCTAACTCCACTCTAATCCATAAAATCTTCCATAAAATCAACTAGTTAGCTACCATAAGTCACCAATTGACCATTATTAGGAACAAAGAGTGAGTTCCAAGCAAAATACCTTAACTTTTCAAGAAAGGTAGTAGCTTAGGGGTTTTTCTTCCAAAACAACTCCACTAAGTCCTTCAAACTCCCTTAGCAAGTCGATTTTGTGGACTAATTGAAGAGTTAATCGGTTGGTTTTCAAGATTTAAGCAAGAATGGAAGATGAAAGGTTGAATCTTTCTTTTCTTTTCTCTCAAGATGGAGTCGGCCAAGAAGGGTTAAAAATGAAGATGATTTGGGTCAAAATTGAAGTTTTAGTAAAGGTAAGAAAGCTAGGCAAGTCAACCATCCAATCGGGTCGCGACACATGGCACTCTTAATGGTTCAAGCTTATCCTTTTGTCTCTCCAAGATTAAACCATCTAAGTAACCTCTAATTATCTCTTAACACCTAATAAATTAATCCCGGTATACAAAACGTAACCTAATTGGTGGAATTTATCGCACTTAACGCCACTAGTGGGTCCCACATCCAATATACACTCTTTATTTCTCATGAACTAACTTGTACTAGAAAAATGATTTAAAAACTATATTTACTTATAAAATCTCGAAAAAAGCAATATAATAGGGTTTAATGAAGAAAATGCATGCAAGAAAAATAAATAAAATATTATGAGATAAAGAAAATTTACGGGTCCTCACATTGTTTCTCTTCAAAATCCGAGAGTTACATTCTTACTTGCAAGGCAAGGGTTTTTTTGAGCAATCTCGCGTGACGTCCTTGGTTGTTCATCCAGTCTATCTACTTGAGTAATCACTTCAATTAGAGTCGCTCTTCTACCACCTTCTATCAAGTTGAGTCGTCCCTCTTGATTCTAGGTTCCGCAATCCAAACGATTGATAAACCTTCTAGATCCTTGGGCGAATCGTGCTACGTGTCTCGGAAAGAGTTGACCGAGGAGCGTATCAGTTGGCTTCAGAGCTGGTTGAGATATCAATTCATTATATCCGTTTCTATTTGCATCTAGTTCATTCTAGGGTTTATAGTTTCCGCTGCCTTGCTATCTATTGTTTCGTTCAAATCTGTCCGAAGTTGTTTCGTCATTGGCGTCTCCAATTTCTGTCCGTTGGTGTTCAATTGTTGTGTCTTGAAATCTGTCCGTAGTTGTAGCGTTGTTTGGTTTAAAATTCTGACCGTAAGTGTGCCACAAATCTATCCGCAACTTGCTTGTTGTTGTCACATCGTTAGTCGCTTCTTGTCGTTCATAAATCTGTCCAAGTGTATCTTCAGTTCTGTCCATAGTTGCCATTGAATTTTTTTGTCTTCATGCTCCATCGTTTGCTTGTCTATTGCTGTCCGTAATTTCTGGTTTCATTGTCTTGGTGTTATCCAACTTGTTCGCTTGTTTTCAAATCTGGATTTTGTGAAGATTTTGTGAAAACTTGTTGGTATTTTGTGAATCTTGAGAGAACCTACAAGAATCTTGAGTTCCTTGAATTTCTTGACCACAATCTTGGAATTCTTGAAGTTCTTGATAACCTCCGTGAAAGTTCTTGAGGGATCTTGAAGTTCTTGATAGTTCTTGTCTGTGTGAATTGGCCGAAACCAAATCTGGAAAAAGAAAGAAATTCCATTCGGCTAAACTTTGTGTTGTGTTGTTTGTTGTAGTTAGAAAAAAAAGAAAAAAAAAGAGACAAAACAGAAACGAGAGGGAAAAAAAAATAGCAACCGAATTGTGTGATTTGTTTGTTGGAACAAAAATCGGATTTGCGCAATCCCTCTTGGAATAGAATTTAGAGCTTTCTAAAAGTTGTTTCAAGAAGAAAAGGTTTTCTAAAAGGTTTCCAAAACCTAACTTGTTTCCCAAATTCAATTAGGAAACTAGTGGACAGCTTGGATAACTCTCCTAATTCCACTTGGATAAGTCCACTCAAATTAGGAAACTAGGGTTTTGCTTATTTCCTTTTTCCATTCTCGCCACGTTCCAAATCTGTCTGCCACTTTCCATGCACTTCCATGTCCCAAATTGTTTCCAAATTGCATCCAAATTGTGTCCTTGTTCTTGGTTACTCTTGTGCGAAGTTTGGTGAACAATTTTTGGATTTTATGCGGCATTCCTCAAACTACTCAAACCAGCAAAGTAAGGAGTTTTGGTAAGATCATTCGAGTACATTTGGAGTGAAACACGAGAGCGAGTGAAACACTTAGGGAGTGAAGTGAGGCTATATTTGTATTATTTCCTTGTTTGCTAACATTTGGCAGGAACACGCGAAGAGCAATAGAACAAGCCCATCCAACCGCCGACTACACCATGATGTTCAATGCTATGAAATCCGAACTTAAGCGGATTAGTGAACAACAAATGGAGGAAATGCACAACCGTTTTGATGAGCTTTCCAAGAGCTTCACGAGAGGCTCTCGATCTAGATCTCACAACAGAAATCATAACGGTTCCAAAAGGGCAAACTATGAGGACTATTCGGCAAATGAGGATGAAGAGAGAGCCGAGAGGTCTAAGAGGGACATTTCTAAGGAGGTGCTTGGGGGACTTAAAATCAAAGTTCCTACCTTCCAAGGAAAAAGTGACCTTGAGGCTTACTTGGAATGGGAAGGTCGAATTGAGACGGTCTTCGATTGCTATGATTATAGCGGGGAACAAAATGTGAAGGTTGCCACTGTTGAGTTCACCGAATATGCACTCATTTGGTGGGATCAAGAAAGGACTAGTAGGAGACGAAATGGTGAACCGCAAGTCCGAACTTGGCGTGAACTCGAGGCAATGATGCGCAAAAGGTTCGTTCCAAGTTATTACAATCGAGATCTCCACTTAAAACTGCAAACCCTCACTCAAGGCAACATGAATGTGGAGGATTATTACAAGGAGATCGAAATGGCCATGATGAGGGTTAATATCCAAGAAGACCATGAGGCCACCATGGCATGGTTTCTCAGAGGTTTAAACTCTGACCTTCAAGAGGCCTTAGAACTTCAACACTATGTAGATATAAGCGACCTACTTGAATTGGCCATCAAGGCCGAAAGAGGAAAGAAATTGAGGAGAGGTGGCCGACCATACCCCACCTCAAATCCGAATGTTTGGAAAGGAGGACAGTCGAGAAGGACATCCCATGAAGCTGGACATTCGGCCACACCACCCACTTCTAGCCAAACACAAGGTAACTTCCCTAACCGAAATTCTAATTCTACCCCTAACAAGTTTGTCGATCCATCTAGGTCCACTGCAAGGCCTACTCAAGAAACTCCTAAGCCTAGGAGTGGGGACATTAAGTGCTTCAAATGTCAAGGATTCGGACATATTCAATCTCAATGTCCGAATCAAAGGGTCATGCTTATCACTTACAACGGAAACATCGTGTCGGATGATGACGATTGTGAGGAGATGCCGGATTTGACCAAGAAGGAGGGTGAACTTGACTCGACCGAGGAAGAATGTTCACCAACCCAAGGTGAAATTGGTTGTCTGGTTGCACGAAGAGTGCTAACCGCCAGAGTCAAAGAAGATGAGCAATTGCAACGAGAGAACTTGTTTTACACTCAATGTAAAGTAAGTGACAAAGTGTGCAATCTCATCATTGATGGTGGAAACTGCACCAATGTAGCAGGTTTGCTAATGGTGGAGAGCCTGGGGCTTCCTATGACTAGACATCCACACCCATACCGACTACAATGGCTAAGTGAAGATGGAGAAGTGTGTGTCTACAAGCAGGTACGTCTTTCTTTTTCAATTGGCAATTATATTGATGAAGTTGTGTGTGATGTTGTCCCTATGCATGCAACTCATGTGATTTTAGGAAGACCTTGGCAATTTGATAAGCATGTCACATTTGATGGTAGGTCTAATAAGTACACTCTATTGCACAATGGTAAACGCATGGTGCTAACACCCCTCACACCCGTACAAGTCTATGAGGACCAACTTAAATTGCAAAGAGAATGTGACTTAGACTAACAAAAGAGAAAACTCAAGGGAACCGAATCTGGAAATTGCTCCAAAACTGTGAGGACCCGAAAATTTTCTTATTTTATCTTATTTTACTAGCTTATTTAATCATTTATTCACCCGTTTTCTCCGACTAATTTATTTCAATCATTTTAAATCCATTTTCATGGGACAATGTCTCACTTATATTTTTAAAACGTCCTGTTGGTAAATTAATTTTCTGTGACTCGTTTAGCGAGAAATAAGTGAATGCACATTTTTTGAGGTGATATTCGGTCTGAGAGTGCACTAATCTTGGAGAATTAAGAATGATCGATAGTAGACTAAGAAAAGTTAATTGAGGGATTAGAGGTGAGTGAGTTCAAATTTTCGCTTTATCGCGCGCGCGTCGATAGTTTCTAGAAAGTAGCACAGCGCGACTAATTGGAGAATTGTGGAATTAGTATTAGACTCATAAGTATGAGTAATTAAAATGTTAGAGGAAGTACCTTGGAGGATTAGTGCGTGAGTGTAACAAACAAGAGAGAAAGTGGTGGTAGGAAACCCTATTTCGCCAACTATTCGAAGTTGACTTTTTGGCAAACTTAATAACCACTTTTCATCCAAGCTTCCCTCACAAGTTTCACCACACCAAACCCTCATCTCTCTCACCTCATTCTGCCGACCCAAAGGGGAAGAAAAGGGAAGTTTCATCTTCTAGCTTTGATTTGGCTTGCAAATCAACGTCCAACCATCAAACCTCTTGGAGATTCACTCTAGCTAGGAGAAAGAAGCAATCTTGTGGAGTTTCTTGGAGAAATTTTGGTGAAAAAATCTGGTATTCATATAGGTTTAAAGGGTAATCACTTCATCTCTTTAATCTTTCCATTTCTCCAAAGTTTAACGGTTAATCTTCACGAGTTTAAAACCCTAATCGCTTTTATAGGCTAGCGAACTTGAGGAACTTTATTTCTCGCTTTAAATCATAGGCTAACTATCTTGATGAGCCCTCTAGGTAGCTGAATTGAGGCTTTATTATTTGATTATGGTTGTTTATGTGATGAATGAGATGATTATGGTTAGAAAGTGGAGAGAAAGTTGGAAAAATTGTGAGAGGAAAGCTGGCTGAAATTCTGTTCATGTTGTTCTATTTTTATTTCAAAATTTTGATACTTAGTGGGCTTTTAAATTGATGGATATATGTTTTATTATGTGTATATAAAGTGCCTTTCAAAAATCGTGCTGAATGGTTGCACAAAACTTGAGTTTTGGGAAAAGTTTCAAATCTGGAAATTGCTAGCAGGGTAACTGGACAGTAGTCCTTTGCTTGAACATAACTCTTTGTACAAAAATAAAAATTGAGTGCCGTTTGTGGCATTCAAAACTAGACATTCAGAGCTTTCAAATGGTATAAAAATCCCCTGCTAGTTCGTTTTGAGCAAACCGTGCTGAGTCGGCAAAATAGACTGTCCTGTTATGCCAGTCTGTCCGAGAGAAACTGGGAAGCTGCATCTTGTGGCTCAATTTTGTCCCACTTGTGAAAAGATTTTTAAAATGATGTCTTCCAATGAATTATAGCATTTTGAACCTAGTTTATAATTCCATAAACCATTCTTAATTTGGACTTGTGTAGAGTCAGATTTGGTCTGATTTCCAAACTATGTCAAAGCTGGAAACTGGAAAGTTTTCCCTTCCCTGCTGACCGAATGGTCCATTCTCTTTTGGGGTGTTTTATTTCAAAACTTTTAGTGTCATTTACCCATAAATTGCTCATTAAATGTTTTGGGAATCTTGGGTTAAAAAATGGATCGAATTGGGACTGATTTCATTGAACAAAACTTTTGAAAAAGAAAGAGAGATAGGGTTGGCGGATTAGTTTTAAGAAATTTCACTAACTTTGGGCATTTCGTTAACTGCCTTTCCGTGCGATTTTTTACCTAAATTTTGATATAGAGGTATTCCATATATAAAAGTTTAAGTGTACCAAATTTGGCGTAATTTCAATATTATTTCGATACCCAAATAATGCCCCAAAATTGCTCTTCAATCTGGAAATCAACTAATCAGGTTTCAAAAATCAGCCGACTTCAAACTGTTATATCTTCTTGCTCAAAACTCCAAATTTAGTTCCGCTTATTGTGTTTGAAACTTGGTTTGGAACTCTTATTGTGTTATAAATTTCAGAGACTGATTCACTTTTTGTGAATTTTTTCGAATTTCCAAACATTGCTGAAAACCAAGACTGGTTCTGTCTTGTCTTCTTGAATCTGCAACTTTGAATTGAAATTTGAATGCTTTCTGTTTGGAATCTTTAAAAAGTGTCTTCTGGGAACTTTTACTACTTTTAATCTAGTTTCCAACGATATAAATTTTTCTATTTTTTGACTTACCAAACTCAAGATCTAATTTTCCATGTTTTGTCGCGTAAAGCTGAAAATTTTCGATTTCATAGGAAATGAGCTTTTAAGAACTTGTCACTTTCTATTGATATTGATAGATCGTTTTAAACCCGATTTCATGATGGATACAAGTTTCCCTTGTGACTTTAAATCCTCACTTTTAAATCTCGATTTTCGAGAGACTAAAGTTCTCATTTAAGGCATTATCCTATGTCTAAGAAAATGTACTTTCTTCCTTGTATGATAAGTGGTTGTGTGTATATGTGAATGATGGTTGATCATTGTTTCTTCAGGTGCTTAAGAGGATCTTGAAGAGAATATCGGAGCGAACAACTAAAGACCTTATTTGCACTTACTCATTTGTTTTGAATTGGTGAGTGTCAAGTGCATGATTTGTTGCATAATACTTGAAATACTTCTTGTTGAATATGTAAATTGAATTTGTTGAGTCGAGTTTATACTTTATCGCACTCGTTCTCTTTTACTTGACTAAATAATCGATTTACTCATATGTGAAATTATACTTGTGTTGGCTAGCCGATTGGAGTGAATCTCATTGACTTATAAAATTATACTTGTGTTGGCTATGTCGATTAGAGTGAATCTCATCAACTTATATTTGTAATCGTGGGGGACGCCCAAACTCATAGGCTAACCTTGTGACTCGAGTCGGCATGGGTTTGATCGAGAAGTTTGGTGAGCCATGAGAAAATCATAAAGTTTGATCTATTGGAGAGATCTTGTTTGGCATACGCGTATAGTATTGCTACGATATACTCGAGTAATATCAAAACTTTTGACAAGTGGGCCCGGTATAGGGGGTGTAACGGTGAACGGGAATCTAGGGAAAGTGGAGTCCTACGGATTTTATACTTGCGCGGTTGACGGAGAGTCAACGTGGGATTTGAGAGTCAACGTGGGATTTGGATCAAGACCTTGACCAAGCTACGTGGAATTTAGCTCCTGAGAGCTACAGTATCCTTGAATTATTTCTGTTTACTTTTCCTACTTGAAATGTTAACTACTTGCAATTTATAGTTTATTATTGTCTCGATTTTCTCCCATGCTCTTCTACTTACTTTATTACGTGCTTGCATGATTTTCTTGGCCTCACTGAGCGTTAGCTCACCCCATTAGTTTGTTTTCCTTAACAGGAGTTCGGAATGGAAAGAATTTTGAGGAAGCCGACTTGATTACTGTTGATTAGAATCTTGGGATGTAATTGATTAGTCGACTTCTAGTGGTTGTATTTTGGAGAAAATTGATGTACATTTGGTAACTTGTGATGTAAGATTTGAATATTTATGTAAGGAAGTGACTTTTCTTTATTTTGGCTTTTATTGTTGGTGGTGTATCGTTAAGTTTAAATTTGACTTATATCGAGTCCTGGCAAGAGTTAGATAGGTGTTCCGCGATACCCTTGGGTTTGCCCTAAGGAGAAGTGGGGGCGTCACAAAAACACCTCTTGAGCATTCGACCAAGGGTAACTGTAGTGTTCCTAGTGTCACAAATGATCATGCATTGACTAAATCAAACACTAAGAAGCAAAACATGATAATCAAGGCTAAAGATGTAAGGAAAGTCATGAATTCTAATCAGCCTATGTTACTTATGATATGCAAACATGTGCTTTTAAGTGTTGATGAACTCGACAAGGCATTGCCTTCGAGTGTAGTTGCATTATTGTTGCAGGAATTTGAGAACGTGTTCCCTGATGAGGTCCCTGATGGTTTACCACCCATCCGAGGGATCGAGCACCAAATCGACCTCATTCCTGGAGCACCATTACCCGATAAACCCGCCTACCGAATGGGTCCGGAGGAAACTAAGGAACTCCAAAGGCAAGTTGATGGCCTCCTAGGTAATGGTTGGGTTAAAGAAAGTTTGAGTTTATGTGCTATACCTGTTATACTTGTTCCAAAAAAAGATGGTAATTGGCGTATGTGTACTGATTGTAGGGCTGTTAATGTTATAACAGTTAAATACCGTCACCACATTCCTAGATTAGATGATATGCTAGATGAATTTGATGGTGCTGTTATTTTCACAAAAATTGATTTGAGAAGTGGCTATCATCAAATTAGGATGAAAGAGGGAGATGAGTGGAAAACAGCTTTCAAAACAAAACATGGTCTTTATGAGTGGTTAGTCATGCCTTTTGGGTTAACTAATGCACCAAGCACTTTCATGAGATTTGTAGACACCAAATTTTTAAATAATTTTTATTCTATTCTATTTTTATTTGTTAATTTCATGTTTTTTGGTTTTAGACTTTTTTTAGCATTTTAGATTATTATTATTATCTATTATTTTATTCTAGTTTTTATTTTTATTTTGTATTCATTTTTGCCCTTTTAGCTGTTTATCGTTATTCTTAAGACTTTTAGCATAAAATTTGTCAAAAGAGAAAATCATTCACAAAAATATGTCATAGTTATTTTAGATTCAAGTTCATTATTAAAAAAAAAGGGGGGGAAAAGCCACGCATGCAGCGGAATTACAGAATCATGAAGAATACCATTTTCCACGATTTTTTCTGCTTTTTCTTTCTTCCAAACCTTCGACCACCTCATCCCCTTTTGGATTCTTATCAAAACCTTCTAGAACAATAGCCATCGGATGGCCAAGGTAGAAGCATTGAGCTGGGGTGGTTTGTGACCATCCAGATGAGGGTTAAGAGAGATTCATGATGATATAAAAGAAAAAAGAAAGGAACAGCGTGAAAAAAAAAGATAGAGAAAGTGACCGCAGAAAAAGGAAAAAAGAGAATTAGAGAGAGCTGGGGGGTGGCGGCTGAAGGCTGAAGAGAGGCTACGGGGGAGTGAATCGAGAGTGAGGAAGGACGGACTGCTAGAGAAAAACTAAGCAAAAGTGAGGAGCTTTCTGGAGGAGGAGGTTTTAGCAGCTAAGGGGTTCTTTGGACGGGGAAAAAAGGGTTTGAACGAAAAGAAACCGAGGGCTGGAGAGGTTTTTGGGGTGGCGGCGGATGAAGAAGGTTGGGAGAGAAAAAAAAAAGAAGGGAAATCTGAGGAAGGTTGGGGCTGAGAGAAAAATGGCGGAAAGGGAGATTTTGACGGCTAGGTAAGGAAGAAACCAGAGAGTTGGAGTTGCGGCGGAGGTTGAGAAAACTGAAGAGGGCGAGGGAGAACTGAGAATGAGAGTGAAAAAGAGGACTGACGGCAGAAACTTGGGGCTTAAACTGAGAGTAGGGTTGGCGGCTGGGAGTAAGAAAAAACCAGGAGATCAAGAGAGAGCTTTGGGATGGCCGAGAGAGAAAAAAGGAAAACAGAGGGAAAGGCAAACGAGATAGAGAGCTGGAGTAGAACAAAGACTGGACAAAAGAGAGGTAGAAACAAGAGAAAAGGCGAAAGCTTGATGAGCAAAGAGGGAGGAAGGATCTGGAAAAAGGGAGAGGGAGGTGGAGAGAGACGGAACTGAGCAAAAGAAAAGTGACTGAGGAAGAAGAAACCCACGGCCCTCGTCAGTTTCCATCGTCGTGGAGAGGCAAAGTTGTTTGCTAAAGATCGTTCCAATCTAATCCCTTTTTCTAGCTGTTCAGGTACATTACTCTCTCTCCATCTGTTAACGTTATATCCTTTCCATGCTTGTATTCGGAACTCTGGATTTTGTTGGAATGCAATGGGAGGAATATATTTGGTTATGATTTTTAGCCTAAAGCTGTTATCTTTGGCTGTCACGTTGCATGATTAGTTTGTTAGGATCTGCAGTGTGTTTGATTTTTGATTCCTAGGTTATAGTTTAGTATCAAGATGTTATCCTCTGACAAACGCATCTAGGGTTCTTTAGAAAGCTGATTTCGTTTCTCTGTTGTTGCGTGTTCACCCATTTGGTTCTTTGTTTGATCTCTAATGACTAATTTCCTACAGTGGGGTTGTGTTAGTATTGAAGTTTGATGAATTTTGGGTAATAAATTTGCTGGTTTGGGTTTGAAACTGCGAGAAATGTCTGAATAAGTTGCTGCAGAGGAAACCAACGAAGAAGAGTTGTATGATCTGTTCATTTTGATTCCTTGCCGGGTGACTGAAATTCTTGCTTGACTTAGTTTTTTTGTTTGGATTGACTTGCTGTATGATGGCAATGCCGTGTATGCTCTGCTGCAATTTTAAGCCGCAAGATGCGATGTAGCATCAGGCTACAATGCGGCAGGTCTGTTACCGCAATAGAGTTTTTTTTATGCCTTAGCAACTTCAGCTGTTCTAACTGAAGCTTGTATCCATACCCATTAGTTCGGACGCTTTCATTGTCTCTTCCTTCGGGGTCCAATGTTTGATAATGAGTAAGTTTGCAGTGTTGGAGTGATTTTATTTGCCAAAGTTTTGGTAAACCAGAAGCTAGGAAGGGCTTGTAGTTTTGATGCTCCTTGTTTTCTTTTGTATTTTTTGCTATGCTTGAACCAAGGTGAAGCTATATGTCTTTGGTTTGTGGTCTAGTTTCACTTATTTACCTCAATGGAATGACTTGATCGTGTGCATAGATTACTTTGCCGCAAGTTTCACTTTTTCTTTTGCTGCGTTTTATGCCCGGCTGTTTCAATCAGATTTTATGGGGGCTAGATGATTATGCTTGAGGATGTTAATGACAATGAGTTGAAGCTTGGTAGTTTGGCTTGAATGTTAGATTAGTTGAGTTTGTTGAATACTGGCATGTAAACCTATCTAAGTTGAGGTAGGGAAATAAGAAAACTGCATTTCATGCTCCTGTTTTGTTGTTTCCTTTCCCGTAACGGCCCACCAAGTGGGTCTCATTACCTTCTTGATGAGAGAAAATTGGATGAGTGAGTTGAGTTTGCATGTGTAGGTCTAAAACATTTGAATCATGTTAGAATACTTGTTGGAAAATAAACAACCAGTTTCGGTTGAGGAAGGAATGCAGCAGATTTTCTTTCTCGGTTGCTAGAGTATATGAAGTAGTTGCAGAAGCTTAATCTTATTCCTAACTTGCATGGAAATTTTCTGAAAATTGCACTTTGGCCCTCCAAGTATCTCTTTGTTCTACTATGGCCCGAGTATTTGGAAAGACCAATCAAATTGACCCCTCAAGCTTTCTTTTTTTTTTCTTCCTTTTAGTTGGATCCTAATTTTGTGAATATGGATTTTCTAGTTATTCAAATGCTTTAATGATTCAATTCCATATTCCTGCGATTATTTCTTGACGAAAGTGATGCCTTGACCCTTCTTTTGTGTTTTGGCGGGTAAAGTAGTAATTTCACTTCATTAGGGCTCCGACTCCAAGGAAGGTACACTCTATCCCTTATTTTTACTTTATTTGACCCTGTGTGTACTTATGTGATTTATGTGTTTAATTGCATGCCTTTTGAATGTTTTCATTTTATTTATTTATTTATACGCTTTATTCTTTTTCATTTCGTATATTTATTTTAGTTCATTTTGATTATTTAAAAGGCATTTAAATGCCAAGTTGTAATAGTTAGGTTTATTTTACTTCATTTGATTTTACATTCCCCTTTCAGATTGTAGTAGGTCCCCCCCTCAAATGTAATAGTTAGGGTTTTTATTCGCTTTATTTCTCGTTTGTGTGGTTTGCATGCTTACGTGCTATGTGTTACTGCTTTCTTAGGGCTTTGCATCTAGATATGCATGCTTATGTGTTATGTGAATTACGTGCTCACATGCGTACTTGCTTTAACTATGCCCATTTACTTGTGTATATATGGTGAATGCAAATGCCCGTTACCGTGGCTAGTCCAATGCTAGTCATGGTCTTCCCCTCGAGCTCTTACAAGTCCAATGCTTGTGAGAGAACGTTAGTTAAGGGCTAGTCCAACGCTAGACCCTTATGAACCATCCGCACGTTAGATCATGATTGTGTGATAAAATCACTTCATCTCATGCATATCTTTACTTTCTAGGGCCTTTTTACCATGTTGCATGACACTTCCCTTATATATGTATATCCCTTCCTCCATATTTTCCCTTATATGTATATTACTTGCCCCTTTGTATGAAACATGACATTAGACTTGCATTTCATCTAAGCATTAGAATTAGGTTAGATCATTTGCTTGATTAGATATGGGAAAACCCTTAAATATGGGATACTGACGAGTTTGGCTTTTTAGCCTTAGCACGCTCGTATTCCCTCTATAAAAGGAAAAATTGAGTCACGAACATTAGTCCCCCGTGCCCGACATGATGCATTTCTTTAGGACATGTATATTTATATAATTATGATTATTTTTATTATTTTCCTTTTCTTAGAGTCTCATATTTTTACATTATTCGTGACTTCTTCAAAGAGTCTTTATTGGGCATCACAATTAATGTGATTGGCACCGATTGAGCTTCGAAGAGATATTTTGACCCTCGATACCCTCTTAGGTCTAGGGTTTGCATCCATATAGTACATCCAAATGTGATAAATTTTTACATTAAATTAAGAAAATCTTTGACTAAATCACGCAACTAGCCTAGGCTAGGTTGAAAGGGTGCCTTGGACTTTTGTCCTTGCCTTCCCTTTCTTCAAATGTGACTCCCGAATCTTTTTTTTTCTGATTTTTCGTAGACTTAGGAGTCGTTTAAAGGGGTTTTCTATAATTTTATTTAAAAATTTATTTTTAGGTGACTTGGTACACCTTAACTCAATACCAAGTGGCGACTCCAATTTTTATTCAAAACCCTTTTAAATTATTATTTTGGGTCAAATCGTCGCATTTTCTATGTCCCATTAGGCCCATTATTCTTTTTAAATCAAACTCATTTTTTCATTCAAAATAATCATCTTTTCTAAAACTTAATTTATTTTTCTTTTATTTTCAAAAAATGGGGCGCGACAGTTAGCGACTCCACTGGGGACTTAGAGAGTCCGAGCATTTGATTTAGT